TTTGGTTATATTTCATTACTGGTCTTCTACAGCAAAACATCTAACCAGAGCGCCTCAATTCGTTAATCGTTTTTTCCGCTAATATTCGCGATGACACCACACACCATTGTTGAGTCTTTAAAGCAGAAATCAGAATACGCAAATAAAATAACTGCGGAAAAATGTGAGGGTTAACGACATTGACAAAAATACACTAGTGTCTTACGTACATCTAGAGGGTCACCGACTTAGAAAATTATTGTATTATTGTTGCAATCGATTTTGATATGTAATTTTTTTTTCACTGACATAAATTAACTATTAATTTGAATATTTATGATGGAGATTCGTTGTCATGTCCACAATAGAAGACAATACAACCTAATATTATAAGTCAAAATGTCACTCGTTATCCTAATTAAATATTTTACTTTATTGTTGTCATTAAAATGAATATCTTATGTTACAAGTGAAAAACATTTCAAGTAAGTTCATTACTCACACATTTATAATGACTACTTTCGAAACTATGGTATTATTCATTTTTTTCTTTTTAAGGGAGGGATATTCATAAGAAAAATTTAATGACTACCTCCAAACAAAACATTTTTTTTTTTTGACTCCGTGCAATTATTTTTGTTGTTGAAAAAAAATAACTCCTTCGTTCACCTTAACTACGATTATCATAACACTTTTGTATTTTTAAAATTTTATAAAAATTGCCACAGTAAATTTTGCATAAAACATGTCTTCTTCTTCCTTCGAGGCTTTTATAGGTCATTTAGGTCCATTGCCGCAACGGCAAGTGGTTGTTGCGGTAATCGGTCCCTGTCTCTCGCCAATTCTTCCCCATTATCTACTACGAGTTTTTTTAAGTCCTTGAACACTCTATTCTTCCATCTTTTTCTAGGACGTCCCCTAGGTCTCTTTGTGTCTGGTCTCCAATTCGTCACCTATCCAATTATACCCTACAATTACTACACGTGTCCGGCCCAGCTCAATCTACTACTTTTTAGAACTCCGATGATATTTTCTTCTCCGACATGTAGAAATTATAAATTCAATGACCCTTAAAAAAATATCTTAAATTTAAAAATATACGATTCGATTATTTCTTAGGAGGCCATTCGACTTCAAATCTACCTATGTAAAAAAAAGTGTATTTGCTAAATGATAATGTATAAGTCTGACACCCTTTGCCGAGTGGATCAAAAACACTTTTTTTTTTAACTATCTTGAATTTTTAATCATTCATTTCTTATGAACCTCTCAAAAATGCTAATTTTGTTTTAAGATGCTTTTTTAACAAACAAAAACAACTTTCCAGGAAAAAATAAAATGTACTAATCAACTAATTTAAATTAATATTCTCTTAATTGTACTAATAATCATATATTCAAATTGTTTCATTTTCTTCACATGATTTATTTCGAGACAACTTTCTTTTGAAATAATCAACATTGTACCAACGTTTACATTCTTATTGAGTCTGAGCATAACTAGATGAAATTAAATCCGTTTTATTATAATATGGTGAATGGCTAGTTGCATAATATATTACTGAAGAGAAGTTTACAAGTCTTGTATGATGTCTTTTAATAGAATTTCTGTACAACCTATACAAGATATATCTAATAATAAACAACACGAGTAATTTAACCGAATTCGACGGGTGCAATAAATAAATCCCACCCACAAAATAGAACCCTTTCTACAATGAATACAATACCACCAATATACATTTGTTCGTTAGTGACAAACATTAATTAACATATGATATACAACTAATCAATTTCATATGAGAAGTACAAATGAGACAATGACAAAGATACTTTCCTACGATATTTATCATAATAACAAATAAATATTTAATTATTTCAATTCTCTTCTCTTATTAAAATTTCACTTCTGTTATAGCTTTTAACTTTCAGTTGTCGTCTCACTTTTGGTATTATTAAAAATAATTTTTAATGTAATTAGAATGAAATGAAATAAATGTAAACCAATGGGGTGGTAATTGTAAATATTTCTCTTGAAATATTTAACAGGTTTTAATTTAAGTTCTAGTTCTTTTATTTTTTGCTATCATATTAAATGTAAAAAAACCCAGCACAGGGGGGTCGCGGCACAGTGGTGACGTGACATAGTTGGATCAAGTATAATGATATCTGATAGTGATTAAAATCACTATCAAAAATAAACGCTTCGATGCAAATCTTTAGATAGTGTTTAATTTTAAAAAAATTGGTGTTTTATTCCAAAAGCTACTTGATCTGCTGGTTCCTTATTAATATCTCGATTAAGATAAAGTATGTCGAATGAAAAAGGGTTTATTAAAAAATATTATTTCTCATAAAAAAATTGTGTGGAT